CGCAGGTTTCGCACCTTTTGCCGCGCTTCGCTAAGACCGGGTGCGACACCCAGTAAAATTAGGCGTATGTCCCTTATCTACGGCATGCATGAAACTTGCATCGGAAAACTCACTCAACCCTTGTGAAGCCTGGCTAGATGTTCGAGGTAGGTCGCCATCCTGCAGTTCCGGTTCTGGCGGCATCAGGCGAATGGGCTGGTGACCCATGGGCATGGTGGTAGCGTCCCCTGGCTGACAGACTCCTGGCTGTGCCACCACGCCCAGTGAAGGTGCTGCAGGTACCTCCGATGGTGCCGCTGTAGGTACTTACGGTGGCTATCAACTGGAGTCGTTGACATCTTGAAAATTTGGTCTCGTGATGTCATTTATAATACTACTCATGTACATGTATGTTATGAATGAATTCAGCTGTATTGCTGCAGCTGAACCGAACCAAAAATCAATGAACATTGAACACTTCTGAACTGAACCAAGCCAAACTGGTCAGTTCGGATGTTCGACTTTAATATTGCATGACATTGATATCGTACAGAATGCACACAAGAAAACTTGATTAAAAAGCAAACACAAAGAAAAATGGATAACAAGTTTTACTATACCACATACACGTTCATGACGGATCGCCAAACTCTCATTGGTGCATTCAGGGTCATGCACCTGCCACTATTTTTGCTTTTTGCCAAGTGCTTCATTCATGCAGGGAATAAAAATGCACGCACAGTAGCAGAAAATCCAGGAACTGTCCCCCAGGTGTACTGTGCACTCATGGTGGTGCCAGCCTAGCAACAGCATTTTTGTATGTAAGATAAATGTAAAAATGAAAGAGATGAAGTGTTTGTATTTCGACCTTAGGAACAAAAAATAAAAGTTCGCAGAAACAAATTAATGATGATGTTTTTATTTTCAGAGGTTATGAAGTGTATGAGGTATAGTAAAACAAATGTATATATTGTTTTGTTGAGTCAAGCGCGGTTCAAGCACAACTGCTTTTGGTTGGCAAAACAGTTGGAAACTGTCACACTTCCAATGGTATCTTCTATGGAATTTTAACTCCTAAATAAATTTTGGGAAGCAGTTTAGAAAAAAATTATGTTCAAACAAAGTTGCTCCTGGATGGAGATGGAGAGGAGATTCATTGCTCTGTATCAACGTATTTTATATACGGAAGTGCTATATATGGCACGTTCGTAGCAATCTCTTCGTCATCTCAATGTGCATTGTTCATGTACATACATACATGAACATGTACATGTGTGTACATGTCCAAAGCTAAACCGAACCTTGGCACCTATTGCAGCACTATTCAGCTGACAGCAAAATAATCATTTCATCTTATATACAGTAGGGCTTTACTGTACGTAAGTATTCAATCTTTTTTCAGTGTGCTTAAAAGCCTCTGTTATTTCCATAACAGTGGAACTGATCTGTGCTGCCCTTTCTCCACATACATTTACATACGTATTCTGTGCAACATTATTACACTATTGAGAGTGCCAAATATCCAAACCAATTAATTTGGTTCAAAGTTCAATTTGGTTTTTTGTAAGTGCCGTGGATGCTATTTTCAGTTGAGTTCAGAGGTTTTGCTGTTTTACTTTAAGCTGTAGTGCAAATTCATGTAAATATTTGAAAAGGACCGGTATACATGTATTTGCCACTACCAAGCATCTCAAAAGTCTCCTAGACATGCTAAATCACTCCCCCGACTATAGGAACCCATGTTTTTATGACTGATTGTCCAAAATTGACTGAGGATTTAAATTTAGTTTATGCATATGTTCTTAATTAACATTCAGAATTAGCAGTAAATGAGACACTTATTTTTCTTGTATTTTGGAGAGATTCATAATCAGAAGTCCACAAATTTCCGTGTAAGGTTTACTTTATTGGGCAGGGCGTAATTTTGAAATGTAACTTTTTGTAGTTTCTCACATAAATGACATTTCTACATTTTTACAAAATTTTGATTAAGGGAAATCACTGGTAATGCATTTTTGTAGTGTTGTTGCTTTTTCATACTTATCACTACTATATACTTACATAATAATGCTATTTAGAAAATGAGCTAAAAGAAGTAAAAGTGGACATCTGTTTGTGAGATTGTTCAGTTAACATGACCATGTACATGTATTTGACTGCTTATATTTGGTCAGGCATTGTGAAGACCCATAACCTTACTTATCAAGAAACAGAGACTCTTCAAGCTGTGTTCTCCAAAGATCTTTGTCCTAATCACATCATTGCTAATTCAAAGTAAGTACTTGCATTATACTTCTCAATGCATTTACATTGATATCATCATCAGTCAAATGCTTGTACCACAAAGAAGAACTAAATACAAAGAAATAAACTTCAACTGTTAACAACAAAAATGCAATGCACACCCCAACAAGGTTCTAGCCGCAATGGGTGGTGCCCGGCGGCACCACGCGGTACTGCAAATTTCCGCCCAGCACTCAGGGTTGAAACTGGCTGTGCCACCCTGCACGGATTTTCAAAAAAATGAACTGAAATATTACTGAAAATTTAAATGTACCAATTTGATCATATTCCAAGCATCAGAAAGCATTAAGAACTGCACTCACTATGCTTTGTAATCCAAAAATTTACCCAGCACTAAAATGGTCCTAGCTAGAACACTGCACCCCAACTGATCATATGATATGCTAAGTTCACTGCACCTACCAGAGTTTACTCATATCAACTATATATGTACTATGTATATAATGGTACTTGTATGATACATGTACATGTAGTAAACTATAACAATGATAAGGCAGAAAATTTATTAGAAGCATGGGCGTCACCGGGGGGGGGGCATTGGGATATCACCCCCCTCCTCCCTATTCGTTAGTTTTGTCGGTAACATCATCTGACAAATTTTTTAATATGAAGAGCGGAGAATGACAATGAAAGGAAAGGGGATACAGTACACTTGTTTTGCATAATGGTCCATCAGCAAATTTCATGTGGCACCTCCCATTCAAAATGGTCTAGCAATGCCCCTGATTACAGGTGACGCTCATGGCACAATACAGAATTAAATCAAGTAAAATTAACCAGAAATAGTTGAAAGAAGAAGTACTAAGGAATATGAGTACAGTGTAGTCTGGTTTAGTGGTCCCTATGTTATGGTTTGGACTGTCATGAATGTGGGCCAGGCTATGATATGATGTTGTATACACTGGGATGATGGTAATATACATTTTTGTCACTGGGTCACGTGATAATTCTGGGCCACTGAAAATACAGTATTCATGACAGAGGTAGAACAAATACATGCATGTGTATCCAATGTACAAACAAAATTGTCAAGTTAGAAATTTATTCTCATTACATGTGTTACTGAATAGTAAAATGGAAGAATTTCATCTACATGTACATGTACATCTAGTGTTTGTTAATTAAACAAACACAACTTCTCACACTACTGTTAGATGGGTAAGCAGCCTGTAAGTACATGTACTTGTAGGCAGCTCCCACAAAAAAGGGTAAAATACGAATTTTGATTGCAAGTTGAAGACATTTATATTTTCAAAGCTAAATTGAGTGAGAAATAATGGAATCTGTTGTTCTTGTATTTTTTAGATTTGATTTTGAGTAGTGTTTTTGTTTAGGGCTTTGATTGAAGTTGTCAGTGGCTTCCAGACATCGCAAGAGGAGATTACATTGAATGTAAATCCTCAACAAGTCAGCTTCAAGAACTATATAGAAGATGAACCAGGTAAATCAGATGTCATGAAACCTTCAAACATACATGTACCTGTATGTTGTAGTAAGCGTACACATTAGAAATCGATTTTTCTGTGTTGAACTTATTCCTTGGCTCATGAGTTCATTGTTTGCTATGATTGATCAACAGATCCTAATAAGGTTGTTCACTCTGAGATGTTTCTTAGTCCAAGTGAGTTTGATGACTACACAATAGGTGTTGATGCAGAAGTAACATTTTGCCTAAAGGAATTAAGGGTAAGGTGTCATTGCTTGTGTTGAATACCTACATGTAGCATCACAAACATGCAATACATCACTCATAAGCATATACTAAGTCAGCACCCTTTCATGTGAGTAATTTTTGTCCCATGTAGTGGTTCATATTTATAATTTTTTTTTTTGCTCCAGAGTCCTGTCGTACAAAGTAATTCAAAACTTCTTCCTTTAGAGACTGCTATGATGAAAATAAGATTCTTCATAACAGATGCTGTAGATTAGTGCGGTCAAGTACAAAAGCAAAGTTGTGAAGTAATTGTATGTGGAATTTCATAAGCATACACATATGTTTTAGGTTGCATTTAGTTTGACAGTGAGTTGAGTGAATCAATGTTGCAACTAGCTGTACATGTAAATCTTACTCCATGTACATGTATGTCTCAGATGTAGATAGTCACACCTTTAGGGTTGACATTTAATAAGTGCAGTGTGATGGTATCTCAGCATTAGATTTCATTTAGACTCCATTCACTGTTTTAGATAAGCATTGGAACTACTATTGATTAATACATATATGTAAAAACAGTTCAATCAGATAAGGATCACACTTCACATTACTGATATTTCACACTGATGTGCATGTAATATCTCTGTTTTAATCTTGCAGGCTGTGTTATCTTTTGCTGATGCTTCTGGCTTACTAGTGTCACTGCACTTTGAATCCACCGGAAAGTAAGAGAAATCAAGTGTGTCTGTTGCATATTTTTGTTTGCTGAGTGTTGATGTGATGAATTTATTCTTTTGAATAATTTCAGTTTGCTATTCATTAGGGTTTTTTCATTCAGGAAATGGGCTGACCAGGAAATATTTATTCTTAACCAATCACTCATGGATACCAAGAGAAAAATCTCAAAATTCAAGTACAGTGTATGCATGTGGGTTCAGGTACATGTACATTAGAAGCAGATGGTTGTTTTAAGAATTGAGACCTGGTCTCAGTCTCGAGACCTTTTTTGTGGTCTCGATCTCGATCTTGTTCTTGTCCTATCAAAGTCTAGGTCTTGGGAGGGTTGGTCTCAGTCTCAAAAGTGTTGTTCTTGGTCTCGGTCTTGGATGTGAAACCCTCTGGTCTCCCCTTCGAGACCTGTTGAGACCTCAACAAAATGTGCACCTACAATCCTGGACAAAATAGTTGCAACATCTCATGGGAAACACAGTGAAAAGATTCCCCCTCTCCCCCTTTCAGTGTTAGGGTCATTTATTGGACCAAGATTCAGCCCAACTTACCCAATGAGAAACAACACGGACAGGGGGGCAAGGGAGGAGGCATGTTCCAACGAGATCTGTCCAGGATTGTCTCTAAAAATGCGCCTATTACCTGAGATTGTGTGTACATCCCGCTCTTAAAAAATTCTGCACGCGCGCACGTGCACCCGCGATAACAACTGCAATGGTACATCACCTCAACTGAAAAAAGGTGAGTCACTCACATGCTTTTTCTCTTTTTCTCATGGTTCACCATTGCAGTGCTTCATCTGAAACCAAACCAGTAACTGCAAAGAGGTCAGACAGAATTGTGTACCTCTCATTTAACCATATAGCCCTTCAGACCAAAAAAAAACTTCATTTGATAGAGATGTATGCTGAAATTGTATGATGCACCGTTTACAATACACCCAACTTATCCCATTTTCAATGACCAACTTACCTCTTGTTGCGGACACCTGCGAGTAGCAATCCCATCCGCACAAATTTACTGTGGACCCTTCCACTGCAAAAATCCTGTCCCGATGGTTGATCATAACCCATATCTGTTATATCACTAAATATTCAACAACTATGTATAAATTACATATACTTTTTGGGGGGGGATTTATCATGCTTTCAACAGGGCATACTACCACACCTTGCCTATGATAGTCTTTTTTATTCCATTCCATAACCATTGAATGCTTACAGCATCACACAGCAGTGTCCAAAACAGCAATGCGGCAACCGCCCTCCCTCCCACGTAAGACAGACCCACCAAAATCACACCAACTTTCCACTAAGATACTCAGACAATCCTGGACAAAATAGTTAGAACACCTCATGGGAAGCACTGTGAAATTATCCCCCTCCCATGTTCAATGTTGTGGTCATTTATCGGACCAAGATTCGGTCCAGCTTACCCAATGGAAAACAACACTGATAGGGGAGCGAGGGAGGAGGCATGTTCTAACGAGATCTGTCCAGGGTTGTAGCTACCAGAACCACTCACGAATGCACTCACTGGCTGACCTCCATGTGAGTAGTTTCCAAACTTGTATGTAAATATGACACCATAATTTTCAAATTTTCATGCTAAAGAATGAAACTGATGCTTGAATGGAAACTAATCAATGTAGGATGCAGTGTTTCCAGCACAGGTGACAGCCTTGGAAAGTATTGCTCAACACAATGGAGATGAGGTTGAAAGCACTGGAACTTGTATGCCGTGTGCCATTTATTTCACTGACACACATCTGCCCATTTTTACACAATGTACTACACAGATACACGTACATGTACTACTACCAGATCTTATTTGGATATTCATTTTTTCTAAATTTTTTTGTTCACCCAAAATTTTTTTTGAATGTTTACATCAGTGGGTCACTCAGGTTGAAAATGACGATTATACATACCACTGACCATTCTAACCAGTCCAGTGATCAATCACTGGTTAACTCAGACATTCAACATTAGCATGGTCATTTCATATGTTGGTATTAGGCATATCATGCCTGATTTGTATGAAAAGTATAAATATGCCATACATCTTATTTGAAATTAAATGAAAATAGGCTTGGGAGCTCTTGATTATAATTAAACTATACACCTGCGAATGATATTGACATATCAAAAGTCTGCAGCTCATCACAACTACATTGTATTTCTTAGAGGTAAAATAAAGTGTCAAGTCTTGAAGAAAACTTTAATCTATAAATGTTTGATGGTGTGTTGCATGTTAATTTTCTTCGTTTTATATGTTCAGTTTAATTTCATTGTATGCTGCATGTCCTCATGTACCTCTGTATAAAAAACTGTAAAATGTTAATGTTTGGTCTCGGTCTCAGTCTTCGTCTCGGTCCAGGTCTCAGCCTTGGTCTCAGTCTCAACCTGCAAATGTCTCGGTCTCGAAGTCTTGGTCTCGGTCTTGAAGGAGTGGGTCTCAGTCTTGTTCTCGGTCTCGAATGATTTGGTTTCGGTCTCAGACATCAAGGTCTCAGATACAACTCTGGAAGCTAGTTTTACTGCACCACAGATATAAATAGATATTTGCTCACAATTTAGATGGTCATACATATAGTTCTGTGTTTACTACAGGTATCAGTGTTTTAGCAAAGGCACTGACGCTCAAGGCCCAGGTCTAGGCTTTGACCTTCAAGTCTTGAGGCCAAGTCACTGACCCTCCAGGTCCAAGTATTGACCTTCTATAGAGTCTTGAGGCCAAGAATCTGACCCTCAGGGCCCAGGCTTTGACCATCAAACCTGAAGGCCAGGGATCTCACCAGTGTTCGAGTCTCCGAGGCCAATGCCAAGACCAAGTCATTGCCATTTAAGGCCGAGGCCAGTTACTACACATATACATGTATAACATAAGTACTTCTAGCGCTGTTGGCTGACATACAAGATTCATCGCAATCCACAAAAACTGTTATACATGACACAACAATATCCCCAATTATTTTGTCTAAGAAAAGCAACCATGTACTGTGTTTCATTTATTAGTTACTTTCAGTTTAACATTGTAAACTTCTTGGTAAACAAATCTAAATGGGCATAACTACCTCTTATTTGGCAGGTGTTCTAAAGTTCAATTTTTATATTTCTTTCAATAAAGAGTACCGAGTCCCCCGCTGTCACATAAAGAAACTATGAAAACTTTAACTGCTCCCAGTACATACAACTCCCCACAAAATAATTTCTCAATATTTTCAATTGCAAAAACAAGATTGTAAGAAGGTAAGGCTTTAAACGTAGGCTATTAATCCCCAAACTATTAATCCCCAAATAAAATCAAGTAAGATAGTTGGACGTCAACAGATACATGTGGTTGCACAATTGCCAAAAAGTCCTGCAACCAAATAAATTTGTGAGTGAATATAACCATTTTTCAGAAATGAAAAAAAATCAGGAGTGCTTCCAAAAATGATAATCAGTCATTTTCTTGGTTCTGAATTGCAAAAATTATTCAGTCAGATTGCAGCTACAAAATATCCTCAAATTCTGGTGAAATGTGGTTATTAGTCCGCCTTGGGTGTTGGAGATACTACCAAATTATTTTTAAGATCTTAGCTTTTAATTTGAGCTTACAGTATCCATGAAAGTGACGAGGACACTTTTCTTAGTTCTAAATTGGTTCTGAATCGCAACAAAAACCTCTTCATAAATAAATAGTAACACAAGAAATCCATTTTGCAGCCAGAACCATTATTACAAGCTGATTTTCTCATAGGTAAAAATTCCAAGGAATTAAAATGTAGAACTTGTGCAAATTTTGACTTGACTTTTGCAGCTGTGCAACGAAACTCCCTCCCATGTCACACAGTTAACAAACTTATTACGTCACATACATTTCTGCTACATCTGTTTAGTTGAGTTTGCAACATATTTGAGTGCAAATAATGTGTGATCCGAACTTGGAAAAAAAATAGGCATTCAGGTTTTGGCCAATTTAAACAAAATGGAAACTCCACAAGTCATTTTGATTAACAGACATTAGATGCAAAAGTTTATATGACTGTTGAGTATGAAAAAAGTATTTTGAATCACACGTAGTGAGTGACCTTTGGCACTGTAAATATTTTTTTATTTTTTTGACTCCTGTGGATTTTGACAAATCATTCAAAAAGTTGAAGCGTGCATTGGAAATCTTGCCAAAATTTCTTTTCTAGAAATTTTTTGAGAACAAAATTTGTACAAGAGGCCTACAATTCACCTGTCAAGCAGAGCTTGTCTTAGAATGTAGAACTGAAGAACATGAAAGAGGTAGGTTTTTAATTTAAACAATCCAGAACCAAGAAAAATCCAGAACTAGAAACACAACTGTATATGTAATTTCCCATGAAAATGTGCTAAAAATGGCACTTTGTGCTAACCATGAATACTTAGCATATAAAAAGACATTTCATGTCCACTCAACCCCGTGCACATACGAAGCTATTGTGTGCAAATTGGCATGTTGACCAGCCATTGCACATGCATGCTGAGTACCAGCCATACAGAAATTGCAGTGAACTTTTAATAATGAGTACATGTAGCCTAATTTACCAAAAAGCTATCTTTTTCACGCAACAATCAATGAAAATAAGTACATGTATGTTCCCAGGGGATAAAACTGTTCAGCTGCATCATGTCATTAAGGAGTCTAGGTACTGTACCACGTGTTTGTTCACAAAAATGATCAATGCACATGCACGTTGCAAGTACTTTGTCATGATAAAATTTGAGGGGAAAGTAACAGCTGAGAAAACTGACTTAAAACGGTTGCCCTCGAACTAGCCTCAACTGATTCTTTGAGTCCAGAGGGTGCCAAGGCCAAGACCGAGTCATAGCGATGTCGAGGACATCGTTTTTGGTATTGAATTTAAACTTGAATTGAATGTGTGAAAGCCTTGGCCTCTGCCTTGCTATGAAGTAACTTGGCCTTGGCCTCAGCACCCTTTGGACTTGAAGAATCAGTAAGGCATCATTTTGGAGTTCAGAATGTGATACGGTACCTTGACTTCCAGATGATAATGTAGTAACAGTCGACCGATAATGTAATAACCGTAGATTTGGTTGTTTCTTAGAAGGCTTTGGGGAACTTACGGCTTCTTCAAGTTTTCCTTGCAGATCCTTCTTACTGTACCTTATTGCTTTTGAAGTGACCATTGTTCATTGTTTTCAGCAAATCATAACTGAACACGGACATCATCTTGTCCCAAGAAGTGTATAACACTCAGATGAATCATGATGACCTCATTACATAAATCTAGTTCTTTTATTTAGTGTTGAGGTGATTTCAGTTAACATGCACAGTCACCCTTTGGGCTTGATTGACATTTAAGATGCAAACTTCAAAGCTCTATGCATGTATCTCCTTAAGTACAAGTCCTACTAGGTTGAAATTTTGCAAATTGCTGGACAGGGAGGTGTTTAGGACGAAGATTGGCATTATGTCATGATGACATTATCAGTGACAAATCACGTGACACGAAAGGTGTTTCCTTTTCTTCATACATATCAAGTTGGGTTATGACTTGCAGGCATCGCAAAAGGGATATGTTATAGATGAAAACTGATCTCATGTCACGATGACGTCGTCAGTTAACATGTCGCGTGACAGTAAAGATGTATCTTTTAACGCCCTGTGTCTTCTGAAGTACGTGTCCGACTGGCTTGAAACTTTGCAGGTAGTGCGAAACTGCTGAACACCAGCTCAATTTGATGAGGAGCTCATAACGTCACTTGACAAAAAGGGCCACATCTCAAAGCACTCATATCCTCTGAATTACATGTCTGATAGGGTTGAACCCTTGCATGCATATTTCCTTTTTCAATTTCAAATGGAGTGGTGCAAAACAGAATTTGTCATGCTTAGTTCAGATTTGTTTTCATCAGTATTTTTCCTTGTGGGCTCCCCCATCCCCTGGATCCACCCTTGTCCTATATCCTTGTGATTTAACTCTTCATTTGTGTTTTTTGTCAGAAATAGACTTGACGTTTTTCCGTCACATTTGTTCTTCAAGTTTTGCGCCGAATGTTGCCATGGCTAGAGGGGAAGGTTGTGAATAGATTTTAGCAAACGCGTTTGGTGCTTGCTTAAGATTCCTGTAAGCAAACACTTCAACACAAGAAAGACACATTTTCTTTTGTAATCTACAATCTCATGCGTGCCTGCATGTGTTTCAAGAAAATGCTAGCTTCTCCAAACCCACTTGTAATTTTACTTCAAAACTCAAATCATCACAATAACAACACCATCACCATCAAAAAAGTTTTTTTAATAAAAATAAAATAAAACACTGATCACTCCTCTTAGATAGAATTAAGTACTGTAGCTTTGTACGCAAATTGAGCAGTAAAATACCGTGAAAAACCAAAGGCTGTGCACAATATCGCTTTTTTTCACCACCCTAAACTTCCTAAGACTTACAGGACTTGGGCCTTAATAGTACACCAACTATCGCCGCCTTGCAGAATGAAAATAATACTAAGAAGCAAGCCTGAGTGCACCCTGGCAGGTCAGCATCCTTACCCTCTCAGTTCAGTAGTATATACTGTGATTCATAGCCTCTCAAAAATACATGAAAGTGAAAAAGATCCTTGCACATACCTGTCAAAATCTCATTCCGGCTCAAGCTACCCTCATTTTACACTTAACTATGTTCTTGTTCTCGTACACACACATGTAGCTTGTTTTTAAGCTTTCTATAGTTTTTATAAGAAAGATCTGCGATTGAATTATTACATTATTGGTCAATTGTTATTACATTATCAGTTGGTATTACAGTATTGGCCGATTGTTACATTATCGGCAGTAACAAGACATCCTTTGGACAGAAATATGCCTCTCAGTTGGAAACATCTCTGCATCACAGCATTAGCTTCAAATGAAATTGTCAATATGACAAGAAACATTGTCAGCTCTAATGTGATACCAATTCAAGTGAATTCTGTGTAATGTGCTTAACATCAGGCCATGTAGAAAGTGACCCATAATTTGATCTACATGCAAAGTATCAGTTCCTAGAGGGCAGTATACTTAGAGGACAATCGGCATCCACAGCACACATCAGATGATGTTCTATCTACAGGAAATCTGCAAATGCTACGCAAATATAAAGGAAAATTAAGCTCTGCCCTAGCCAAGTGGCCTTCAACACTGTTACTTTATAAAAGCATTGTAGCTTTGTTGTGAAGGAAGCAGCAAAATTTCCTTGGCCTATCATGTGTTTAACAAACTTTCATCCTGTAAAAGTGAAGGTGTACAAATCTAGGGTGTTCCTCTCCTCCATTTCAAAACATGGCTAACTTAAAAACTTCAGACTTTGCAGAAAGCTCACAGCTGAGCATGAAGTTATACGCCTGTAGAAGAGAAAAATTTCAAACGAATTTACAAATTTAAATGAAAATATCAATGGGCCTAAATTTACAAGGCATTGCTAAGGATTTTGCCCTTAAGCCAAGGCCTTAAAATCAAGTCATAAAGGCAACTTGAAGCCAAGGCTTTGACTGTGACAACCAAGATAACAAATACAGCAAATGCCACATGACTGGCTGTCATCCAATCAAGATATAGAATCTGCTCATATGGTGTCATACATTAATATGCATACAAGTGTAAAGCTATACACTGTTACTGGTACTGTAGTTATATTAGAATTACTGTAACTTTCTGCCGTAGCTTTGAAAAAATCATGACAAAAGATTTTCAAACATTTTTGTATGTTTATTTGTCCCATACATGGTGTTGGCACGGTAGCACACTGCTTGGAGCATACATGTAACTTCACCTGGTTGTATATGTTTTTTGATGAAAAAGTAGAGTTTACATGTACAAAAGACCTTGCCGGTTTTTACTCTCAAGCTAAAGAGTAAAGCTTACATGGACAAAACATCAAGTCATTTTTCACATAGGCCACGCAGTTCTTCTCTGACCAGTAGTAAAAGAATATAATAATGTATGCTTTTTCATTCACATATAGACCTATTGTGTTTTCAATGGAGAGTGATCAAACTATAGAAGCAACATTTGTCCTTGCGACCTTAGCTGATCTTCCCTCAAGTCAGAATTCCTCTCAGCGCAGAGTCACATCAGCCTCTCAACACAGTGCAGTCAATCACTCTAGCCACACTCACAGGTATGTACATGTACTGTACATGTAGGACTGTCTGTCATTGTTAATCAATACAGAATTGTCACAATACAAGCATTGCAGTGCACAGTAGAGGGGGTTTAAAGAAATTCAATCCAAATGAAATGGATTGATGTGTTAAAATTATGGAGCCAAACACTAAGTTTTGAAAGGGTGTAAGCTTTTCTTTGATGTCTGACTTGCATCACTGCATTCAATGATAAGAGAGCATCGTTGCTTTTCAAAACAGTAAAAAAAAATTTACCAACTTGGATTAAATGCAGTCCTGTCAAAAACACATGGAAACATACCCGCACTTGTCGCTCAGCTGTAAATGACAGCACTTCGGTGTCTCCAGACATCTGCGATGGGTAAAAGATGGTGCTCCAGCTCACGGTCTCATCACTGTCCAAGGTTAACTGAGGAAACTCCTTGGAGACAATGATTGTCCTTAATCATGCAGCGGAATTAGCACATAATAATTATAAGTCACTTGAACTTGCTCCCTGTGATTATTTCCTTTTGAGGATGTTAGAAGACCGTTGTTGTGTCAAGTCTTGAGCAGAGTCTTAGCAAAGTAAATGACTCGCTCAACAATTCAGAAGTGGTGAGATGAGCTGTCCAAGAAATGCATTGCCACTGTGAAATTTGTGTTCACAGGTAAAGGAGACACATTGAAGGTATTGCTGACTGAAAAAGTAAATCATAATTGTCTTTTATGAAGAGACAATTATTCCAAAGAATGTTTGTTAATTCAATTTACAAATCTATTGTCCGAATGTATAGAAAAGCTGAGATAGGCATTAGTCCAATTTGGAAAAGGGATATCTTTACCTATTGATTTGTAAAGCAATGATGCCCAGTCATCTGTGATTGCAGAGATGCAAGTAGGCCATCCATGGAATGCTTATAAACTACATGTACCCTTTCAGATGCAACCATACTTGGAGTGGTGGCCTCATAACTTTAACATACCAATCCATTATACATGTATTTGGATTGCCTTTTTCCCTGATACATCACATACATGTACTAACGATCTCATAAAATGTGACACTTTCCTTTTAGCAAACTGAACTATTCGCATTCTTTCTGGTAACAAACTCAGACTGAATGGACAACACATATGTTGCAGACAAAATAATTTATTTTTAAAAGTTACCTGAGCTTTGTTGTGAATAAAAAGAACATGTAGATTTTTATATGCACTGTTTGCAGATGGTGAAAATGTAAAGTCCTTTTTTATTTTTATTTTTTCATTTTTTTAATTGGTATTTTTGTGGGGCATTCTATATAATTTTACATTTAGAGAAATGGTATTTGTTAATACACATCAGTTACTGTAGTTACTGTGCCTTGGATTATATTAATTTGTTGACAGCCAGTTAATGTCAGATTTTCACACCCGAAAAAGCTGCTGGGGACAGGTTTTTACGTGTTAATTCTTCAACCTTGCAATTGCGCTTTGACCCGGCCAAACACGAAGCATTAATACAACAACCACAGAAATGAAGAACAAAATTTTAAATTGACTGTAAGCCTTGATGTCCAATCCTTTTATTTTCTTCAAGCTTTGCACTCGACTTGCAACCAGATTAGTGACCAGTAAATGAATAAACATGGGTTTGGAACACAATCTAATGTGTGTCTTGTATTTTTTTGTTAATTATTTAGTTTAGGGCCATGATGTGCATCTCTCTGTTGTTAAAGGTTGAGTGATTTTGTTTGACGTTGTTTTGGAATAAGTGTTTGTGAGGGTTTTGATTGGCCTATAGACAGGTGATGTGTGGATGAAAGGAAAAAGCAAGCTAAGTGGAGAACGCAAAACATTGGCAGCCATGGAGCATGCCATGATCTTCCTGAGCTGTGCTAGCAGTGAAATACTCTTTGACAAACTCTTAAGCTTGTGAGCTTTTCCAGGCAAAGAACCGGCCCTGCACACCTTGGCTCTCAAGCGGGACATTGGGTGACATTGAGCCACTGACGAGTACCATTGAGGGTACTGTTGACTGGCAGTGAGTCCACCACTGGACCAGCTCCTCAAGTGACATCGGTCACAAACGGTGAAACAACTTTGACGATAGGACCCCAGAAGTCCGAAGTCGATCACAGATGGGACAGAACCTAACTTACCAACCCTCTGAGGCACCACAGGGACCTGTGCATATGAGGAGCACCTCCACAAGTTTCTAGCACTGGTGGGCCCATCACATAACCTAATTATACTTATTGTAACTTCCTTTTTGTGTGTGTTCTGCTGATTTTTAACAGTATCTGAAGAAAAGAGAAATTAGCTAATTAAATCAAAGTTTTGGTATGTAGCTTACATTCAGAAAACATATATTAATAGTTGAAGAGAATTGGATTGTTGGAGTGACAAGATAACTTACTGGCCAGATTTTGAAGAGACATTTTGCAGAATTTTAGGTGTAAATGTAATTGAATTTTGATATATTGTCATATTAAGAAAGGAATTGTATGAGAAATGCAAGGTAAATTGAGAAAAGAAGAGTTTTGAAAAAAAAATTGAACCACCATTGGAATCGGCAAACTATGAAGTGATAATTATTGATTGTTGATAGACAGATACTGATTTTTTGTTTATCTTTGGATTTATTCTCGTGATCGTTTTCATTGCATGAATTCTTCACTATGAATTGCTGGATTTTAGGAGAGGTTTCTCCATACAACAGATTCATTTTAAGTTTGCTTAATTATCTAGACTTATTATTTTTATTATTATTTTAAATTGAATTTAACATTCATTAAACTTTGTTAAAATATTTTACTTGTCATTTGGATTTCTTTGCTCGCCAACCTAACGTTAGATTGGTCATTGCAAATGTCCCTTTTTTTTCTTCTTTTTTTTTGTGAAGTACTGTGCAGCAAAGCAGGCACGCTTAACAACAAGTATACTCATCCTGTTTGGAACAAATAAAGAAATATGTGTGGTTACACGTCATCTGGTGCCAAGTGATTAAAAAATGGTAATGTGGTCAAGTACATTGTAAAAGTAGTTTCTGACTTTTTTCTTTATTGTATATAAATGTACATGTACCTCACCCACTCTGGGCTACTTCTTGATTACATCATATTGACATCACTAAAGGAATGGGCATGGACAATTCATCTTTGAGATATCACAAATTAAGTTTCTCTTCTTTCAAAACTGCCAGAAGTACAACTTCTCCATTACTGTATACAATCAAAGTTTTGTGTGACTCTCTGAAAGGTACATGTACATGTAGGTAGAATGCAGGTTATAACAACAGATACAAAACATTATTTTCCTCCGATTGATAAAGATGCCCATCCCTTCAAAAAAATCCAAATTGACCTACTTATTATTTCTTCTGCACTGTCTGTCTTGCTTGAAAGGAGAGGGTAACGTTGAAGGGCAAAGCAAATGAGAGTGTATTTTGGTGTTCTTGAATCAAAACATTTCTGATGTCATCATTGTACTAAGAAGCAAAGGCCATATAAGATGCTTGTAATACTGGTCATTCCATGTCAAGTCATCCAAAACAGTTTGGAAGTTTAAACCTACCCCTTTTAAATTTTGTTCATAACTGGTACGTCGTAACATGTAAATGTGACTGAGTAAATAGTAAGTTCAAATTTTAGCAAAATCGGCCTTGTGCAGTAGCACCTCCTCATTGGTTGAAAAGAGCCATATTAGTTGGGAGTGTTCATTTTGTTGGTAGCGATGTGACTGTAATGTGTGCATTTCATAGTCATTTGTAAACCAACAAAGTTCAGTTCTGACCAAAGGAACCTCCGTTGCTAAGAAAACTATGCCCTCTCTTGGTCCAGCTCGAGGTCAACAGTTTTCATGTTGTGAATAGTATTTTGTTTCATATTTGGTAAAAATAAGCTTTTGCATCAAATTGCAATCATAATTTCTCCTATATTTTCAGGGGATATGGTTTGGGCATTTTTTATGCTAAATTATGTATTTGGGAAATTGGTTGTAATTCTGCCTTTCATAAATAAAGATACATATTTAGTGGTCTGGTTCTTCTGCAGGAGGGTGGAGATCCGTCCACCAATTACGGAGGATAGGAGGCCCAAATCCAGGCAAAAACTGGACTCAAGGCAATTGTGGTTTGATTCCCTTCGATTTATTCACAGGTGTCAATTAGTATTGAAATTGTATAACCATAAAGAAACCAAAACCCCCGACGTCCGAAAGTTTGCCAAAAAAGGTATTAAAACTAAAACAAAAGGGATAAGGGCTTAAGTTATCCCACAAGGAGCCATTTTGCTGTGACTGCCAGCCCACCAAGGTGCAGGTCTCGAGTGTGGGAACTGTCACAGGGAAAGCCCTGAAACTTCTCTGGTCCTGCCAATGCATTAAGGGACTTCGGGCCGAAAGGGCGTGGCTTTTCAGTAATGTACAGTTTTAAGTCTGCACACCGCAAGGGACGCTCATACCCCTGCATTGATCTTGTGCCAGGTAGGTCAGAGTTCATTTTCACATCAAAAGTAATTATGTTACCGGGGAATCCCCAGACCCCTACACATGTAAAAATAAATCCACGGTGCCAATTAGTGGTTGATATAAATAGCTTTAGGTAATATAAGGAATCCAAAATTCCCCACTATATTTCACATTGGAGTTGGACGACCTTTTGACCTATACAGGCTTTGACACTTTCACCCATGTGGATGACAAAGCCTTCTGCTGCACTTGCATGAAAATTGTACCCCACTTTGATCTCTACAAAACATTCCAAAAGTGGAGATATATTTTGGGTTTGCTTTCTGGCTCATCTCATTGTTGCAAAGCTATTGGTTCGATTAAACTAGAAATGTCGGGTTTTTCAGCTACAATTACGCCACAAAATAGAATCAAATACATGTAACAGCCAAATTAAAGGGGTGTGGTTTAACCGATTTGTAACTTGACATTAAGCGACCCTTAGACCCAGTGTTAAAACTAACAACAACCAGAGTAGGCATTGGCTATGACTAGCCCTGTGGTTTGCCACCATCCTACACTCCAT